AAAAAAAATCTGTTGGTAAACTTCCTACAGACTACAGAAGAAAATCAAGCCTACATCTACAACAAATGTCTTAGACATAGACATCCAGATATCTCATTAAACACAACGAAAGGCCATATCAAACTTAGTTTTTTATCTAACTTATCTTCTTAGTTTTTTCTGGGCCTGGATTCTACAAAAAACATGGTCATAGAATGACTTTTTTGATATATTGATTAGGAGTTAGAGCACCTAACCTGCTCCTCTAATAACTAATGACCCAAGATTACATAGTGACCCACATAACAAATCAAACAGCTCAATATGGAGAAAATAAATCAGTAAGGGCTGGATTAAAGTGCACTCAGCTTTTATTTTTAACATCAGTGTGTCTCATGAAAAATGTGAGCAGCTGCAGCAAGATATATGTAAAGAAACATACAAATATATTTAATATATGAAAAAATTAAATGGCAAAGTAGAATGCATATACGGCAAATAACCACATACACACAAAACATAAAGAGTGATACACCCTGAGCTGTAAAAACTTATAGCAACTCTGCTCTGTGCTGTCTTTATGGAAAAAGCAACATATAAATATAGATGCTCACTTCATTCAATAAACTCCAGTACATCAACATCTTCAGTGTACCTTTAATTTATTAGCATATGCAAATGATGTTGACTAAGAGTTTTTATTTACAGTCATTCTTTGATGATCAGCTTTTCCTCAGAGTAAGTGCTTCCCTCAAGTGGACAAACTGAAAGTGCAGGTATCTAACCTACTGTTAAAAGCACATGTAGTTCCTGCATTAGTGAGCAGCCCATTGTCAGGCTGAAAGCCTTCAAAAGCAGGCATAAAAGTGTAAAACATACTGTCTTAATGGAGCAGAGAGAGAAAAATGTCAGTGCCATGTAGTAAAACATGGCACCGACTGGCTACAATGCACCGTCATTTCTGTCCTTTTCCTTCCACCTGCGGCTGAGATGAAAACATGTTTACAGATTCAAAATCAGCAAGTGATACTAAATTACTTGTAATCACAATTTCAAGTTTAAGTGGCCTGTATGTTTATTATAATCAGATTTTAATGATCATGTGATTGTAATGATTTTTTTCCCATAGTCTTTGATAATTAGCGTCACTCATGAAAAAAAATCACATCGTCCATTCAATAAGTAATCAGAATTGGTACAGGTGATTTTTGTGTCGCTGGACTGCATAAATGTGGAATTATAATATTTCCAAAATAAAACAGCTATAAAATTTTACAAAATACCAGTGTTGTTTAAATGAGCTCATTGTTCTTTGTCTGCCTGATTTTCCTTGCTCTCTACACACATACATACACTAATTTTAAGTAAGTAAGCAAGATTTATTTGGCTTGTGGTCACGAATAATTTAAAGCGTGAGAAGAA